TTCCATGACAATAAAGTTGAGGGCAAAAGCCTGAACAATATAAATAATATATCAACGGGAGAGTCCATTATATATATATATATATATATATATATATATATATATATATATATATACATATATATATATATATATAATACCCCACGCCGACGTTACAAGTTGGAGTTACATGCTCTGTGCAATCATCCGATACTAATTTGCATTTGTATTAGTATTTGAAAACTGACACGTATGTTTATTCACATTTATGCATTTAAATATATTCACAGACACACACACACACACACACACCCATCGTCGATTTGTTAGGAATGTGATGTTGACGTTAGCAATCATCGTGCAGTACTTTGGGAAAATTCCCGAAAACGGCACAGCGAAATGAGGCTATCCTTGTGAGGGAAATATGGTAGAGGGTAGATGGTAGGTTTAAAAGGTTGAAAGTTTGGTGTCATCGTGATCGGTACACAAACTCCTAATCACAACAGACTATTCTACTTCTTCCATAAAATGTAAGTAATGTCTTCTCAGCTTAATTGAAGTATAAACCATAGATGAGCTCTTTTTGGTGTCGAAGAAACAGAAAAATCTACCTGGACAGGTACATTTGACATGGATTGGCTGACCGTCCAAGCTGGCTGGAATGCTCGGAAAACAACAGTCGCCGGACATAATATTTATATATATATATATATATATATATATATATATATATATATATATATATATAACATTTGTTTTATTTGCATATTATATTTGCGTTTTAAGCTTGCCGAATTTTTAAAATGTCTGGCTATTATTTAACTCTTCAGACATCTCTCATCGAATAATTTAGACAATTTTTGTCTACTTATTTTTAATAGGATCCTCGCATGTTCACCGACAAAATTCTGGGTATTATTAAAGAAAAAAAAAAAAGAAAATTTGATACTTATTTTATTACTTATTCCGAGTACTTTCGACACGAACATCATCATCAACGTATTGTTTTTTTTTTCTATGAACACTGACATGTGGTATTATGTACACTATTTACATTATTCTAACTCATGTTTGTCACCATATTTATTACAACGTTTCTGCCGCTGTACGCTCTTCAGATAGTTGGAATGTCGAACTGAATTCTTTATTTCGCTCACTGTGCCATGTTTTATGGATGTCAGTTAACTCTTGTTAATACCCCTCTCCAAGTTCTCCACTCCCTTAACTGGGTATTGAACTCACACTCTTTGGGTCCTGTTACTGGATCAAACTAACGAATTTATCCTCTCTGCCATGTGTCCTTGAGGACATCTGGGTATGAACTTCTGGGTATTATAAACCTAATGTCTTCAGCAATCATTTTTTACCAGTCCTCATATTGCAATTTTTGCTTTTATCATTGTATGTTTTTTTTTTTTTTTTTACCAGAGCTCATATTGCAATTTTTGTTGTTATTATCGCTTTTTCTCTGGCACTCCTTATTACTGGTTCCCATATTGTATTCATTTCTATGCTTGGTCGGCTCAGGAGATTTTTGTGGCCTAGCATATGTGCTGATTCCTTAAGTTTACGAATTTTCCAATGATGTTCTTTGTCTATGATCTCAACCTGATCCCACAGTTATGTTCTCCTCAATGGTGGGGGGGTCTTATTAGGGAGAGATATCTGCGAAGTATCGTCAAGCTTTTGAAGGTTGTCCTGATGTTATATGGACCGCAAACCATTTGTAGTTTCTCTGATAACCCCTTCACATAAGGCAGGCAGACTGTTTTCTGCGTGTTGCCATCTACCCAGGGTAATTGTTACGTTGCAGTGTACTGCTTATATTGACCAATTCTTTATCTAATGTCTCTGGGTCGCCAATTATGACTTTTGCTCGGTGTTGTAAGCAGCGGACGATCCCTGGCACGTGTAAATAGAACAGTCTACCCCAGTGAGCGAAATAATTCCAACCACCCGAAGAAGGCCGGAGCGTACAACGGCCGAAACGTTGTAATAAATATAGCGACAAAGATGAAGACTATAGTCCGAATAATGTACATAGTGTACAACAATTATGCCTTAGAAAAAAAAGAAAAAAAAAGAAAGAAAAAAACGAGGATGACACCGCTTCTTCTACTCCAACACCATGTTCTGTCGCCCTTCCAGACAGTGGAACTCCCTTCCCCTTAGTTGCTTCTCTGTAATTGGATATAATAAGCTTTTAGTATAGAATAGTCAGTTTTTTTTTTACTGATAGACAATTATAAAAAAAATAATTAAATAAATTAAATTGGACAGAAAATTAACCATGTATATATTTTTTTAACTTAGTTCGTTCCAAGTAAGGAAATAAAAAGCCACTAAGATGCAAATGGTTACTGAGAGTGAAAGAAAAAGAAAAAAATTGAGAATGATTCAGAGAGACAGAATATGACGATTGATACTGTATTTACATTTTTTGAAGATCGTTGTTGACGAGCAAGCAGGACGTCGGAATAGATTTCCACCAGCGAAAATTGAAAGAGTGTTGATCTGTTTTGGTAAAGAGAAAATGTGTTATTTCCTTCCATATGAATGAAAGGAAACACTATGCAAAGGCAAACGAAGGAAGAAATAAGACTGCTACCATTCCAGATTCTTCTGCGATCTTTCTTTTCATTTAAATCCAAATAAGATAATGCAACATTATCAGTCCGCACCTGGCATCTCAATTACACAATTTCTCATTTCCGTCAAATAGCTTCCCTAGCACGAAACAGCTAACCAACTTTCCCTGCTGCTGATTTAGCCATTAATTCAATATTATCTTTTCACTCCATGTCAGCGGAAAACATTAGTCCGACGAGGCGTAAATGACTCATCTTCTGCTGGAATGTAAAAACAGTTCTCTCAGATGATTAAAAGATAGCAGTTTTGTCTTTGAAGCGTTAAAATTAGCAAGGCACTTCTTGTCCCATCTAACAACATATTAAATTATTTTGAAGACCAACTTCCAATTTGACCCTATCAATCGGTTCAATTTTACTTCATAATTCTACGTATAACTGTCCTTTTTCTTATCGCGCGTTTTTTTTTAAATTTTCACCGTTTCTCACCTGTAAATTCTCAGTATCCTTCTGTAGAACCACAGGCTTCTTCTCCATCTGTGAAGAAACCGCCCAGTATTCACTGCCATATCTTCTTTTATGTGCCGTGACCCTTCAGGACCTAGTCGATCGTGGCCCTCCACATCTTCCTGTGCTTTGTAGCTCTTTATAAGTTTTGTCTTTTTGGTATTTCTTCGAAACCCTGTTCTGGCATCCATTTCTTCAAGCCAATCAAGTATGTTACGCGTAGCTTCCCTCTGTCCGCTCTTTCCCTCAATCAATCTTGGGAGTATCAAGTTTGCAAAACCTTCCTTCCTCGTTATGGGCCCCAGAAATTTCAACTGCTTCTTCCTTTTTCTTTTTGGTTCTATTTTCTCCGGAACCTCGTTGTTGTTCACATCTTCAATCCTCGGCAATGTTTATTGATTTAAAAAAACGGTTTTTCTTTTATGATCTATGTACCTTCAAAGCCTTAGCGCTCATGGCCCTCCACATCTTCCTGTCCTTTGTAGCTCTCAATAAGTTTTGACTTTTTGGTATTTCTGCCAAATCCTTTACTCAAGCTTATCAAATATGTTACGCGCTGCTCTCCTCTGTCCACTCTTTCCCTCATTGTATTTTGTGAGTATCAAATTTCCAAAACCTTCTTTCCTCGTCACGAGTCGCAGAAATTTCAACTGTCTCTTCCTGATGTTAAGTATGTTTCCTTTTTGTTTCTATTTTCTCCAAGACCTCGTTGTTGATTTATTTTCCCCTCCCCTTCTTCTTTCTGCTCCTCATGCTTCTTCTTCTTCTTCTTCTTCTTCTTCTTCTTCTTCTTCTTCTTCTTCCTCCTCATCTTCTGTGTCTTCTTCCTCCTCTTCACTCCTCGGCAATGTTTATTATTTTAAAAAAAGATATTATAATTTTTTCTTTTATGTGCCGTGTCCTTTCAGGACCTAGGCGTCATGGCCCACCACATCTTCCTGTTCCTTGTAGCTCTTAATAAGTTTTGACTTTTTGTTATTTCTCCCAAAACCTTTCATTTACTCAAGCTCATCAAATATGTTACGCGCTGCTTTCTTCTGTCAACTCTTTCCCTCAATCTGTCCTGTGAGTATCAGATTTTCCAAGCCCACTTTCCTCATTATCTGCCCCCAAAATTCCAACTGCCTCTTCCTGATTTTAGTTATAAGTTTCCTTTTTGTTTCTATTCTCTAAAAAAAAACTGTCATTGCTTAGGAGTAATGATATTTGACAACTGGCGAGTACACATTTCTTTCTAATTTCGAAATTTTCTTGTTCCTCAAAACTTAGCTTAACAATTGGAAGACAAGTTTTCACGTTCCGAATCGCATTATCCGTACCCTGTTAAAAAAATTCTGAGATATTTACAATTTTACATGCATAATTTACATTATTTGAACTGTTGTCCTCATCTTCATTACCATATCCATAACGTTTCGGCCTCTATATCTCTGAGATGAGGTATTATGATTACTTGCATTATTTACATTATTTGAACTGTTATCATCATATTCATTGCCATATTCACAACGTTTCGGCCGTTGAACAGTTCGGCCTTCTACAGGTGAATGGAATTTCGAACCGAACCATTGGTTAGATCTAGTGACTAGACTCAAAGAGCTGTAACTTCAGAATCGTGAATTTTCCATGAAAAATACTCGTAATAACAACTTCTTCTTCTTCTTCTTCTTCTTCTTCTTCATACATGCTTTGCCTGGTACTCCCTCTTTAACCATATTCTTCTTCTTCTTCTTCTTCTTCTTCTTCTTCTTCGTTCTCCTTCTCCTCCTCCTCTTCTTCTTTTAACTTTTATTCTCTTCTTGTCATTTCCCCTATCTCTATAATTTCTGTTATTTTCATTTCTCTCGCTGTCTCTTTTTCTTTTTCTTCTTCTTACTTTTCCTCCTCCTCCCCTTCCTTCTCCTCCCCTTCTTCTTTCTCCTCCTCATGCTTCTCTTCTTCTTCTTCTTTCTCCTCCTCTTCTTTGTCTTCCTCCTACTGTTCTTCTTCTTCCTCCTCTTCTTCTTTCTCTTTCTTCTCCTCTTTTTCTTTCTCTTCCCCTTCCTCCTCCTCCTCTTCTTTGTCTTCCTCTTTCTCCACCTCTTCTTCTTCCTTTTTTCTTTTCTTTTCTTTCTTTCTTTCTTTCTTTCTTTCTTTCTTTTACTGACATATTCCTGCTACAATTCTTCTTTCTCCCAACCATTATTTTTGCTTTTGTTTGTTTCTTCCTTTCTTTTAGAAATCTTTTCTTTTTATACTTTTCTTTCTTTCTTTCTTTCTTTCTTTCTTTCTTTCTTTCTTTCCGCTTCTTCTTCTGTCAACCTTGTTTCTTTTGCTCTTACACTTTCCTCTCTCCTTCCTTTCTTGATCTCCTTTCTCAAATTCCTCTCTCTTATTTCTTTCTTCACACTCTCGTTTCTCTTTTCTTTCTCCCGCCTTTCTATCTCCTTTTCCTCCCCTTCTCTTTTTTTCACACTCATCCTCTACTCTCCTTCCTTTCTCCTTCACATTTCTCCTTCAACCCCCTCCTTTTGTATCTCTCCTTTCTGTATCGCCCTCCTGTTCCCTTCTTTTTTGTTTCTCTCTCCTTTTTTTGTTATTTAAATATTTTATCCTTTCATGAGATTAAAAGCTTTTGATATGGTACGTCAAAAAGGACTATAAGATAAAGAAGCGAAAACAACACATAACTTTCCTATCGAACGAGTGAACGAATGACAGAACAAGCTTTAGAAGAGATGATGTCCTTGAGGGACACGTTGCATAGACGGAGATAACCCGAGAGAAAACCACTGGAATCGTTCTCTTAAGCTGGAATACACAATTTGACCGAGCTTTAACATAAGTCATAAAGAAGCATAAAAATAGCTTGATCTGTTAATATTGCAATAGGGTACTATTAAGAAATGATGGAAAATTGTGCTTTGGTTCGATATAGAGAAGGTCGGTGGGTGGGGAAGTAAGCGTCTGAGTGATTTAAAGGTTAAAGTTCAAAAGACAAACGCTTAGACGGATAGATGTCCAACATAAATGCAAATGTATTTCTTCAAATATACGCACGTTTTTACAAAGACTTGCAGACAAAATTCGCCACCGCGCATGCGCATAATCTGTGATACGGAAGAATTATCGCATTTTTCTTCTTTTTTTCTTCTTCTTCTTCTTCTTCTTCTTCTTCTTCTTCTTCTTCTTCTCCACTTAGTGTCGATTGCGAAAATTGTTGCTCTCTCGACCGACCTAAACGTTGTTGTTGTTGTCGTTAGCTGCTTTCATACGGGAATCAATTTAAGACATTTACATTAGGAATACAGGCTGATGCACCGATCGTCTTATATATCTGACTTACCAGCCTTCTTTCTCTTTATCTATCTCTCTTTCTCTCTCACCCCCTTTCGCTTTCTCTCTATTGCTTACCATCTGGCATTCTTTGTGTCTCACCTGGTCCAGACCCCACCATCAATTCATCGTTCACGAAGATGAGGACAAATATCTCTTTATCTAAACAGCTGGCCGTGTCAAGTTAACTTCGGCCGTCTACTGCAGAATCTACAACCCCCACCCCCACCCCAAACACACACACACACACCAGACGTCGGTTCGTCTTGATTATGACTTTCAGGATAAATGGAGGTCGGAGAGACTAAAACGTATAGAGGGACGTGCAGATATAAAAGGTAATGTCTTCAGATGGAGTTATGAAATAAAGAGATAGATAGATAGATAGATAGATAGATAGATAGATAGATAGATAGATAGATACACAAAGGCACATAAATACAGAAGAGGAAAAGATAGACAAGAGAGATATATAGATAAACACATAGATAGATAGATAGATAGATAGATAGATAGATAGATAGATAGATAGATAGATAATGAAAATACCGAGATAAATAATTAAGAGACTGAGATAGATAGATAGATAGATAGATAGATAGATAGATAGATAGATAGATGCCAAAATAGATAAATAGATGTGAACGGATTGATATGATTAGAAATAGATAGCTAAATAGATTGAAAGATATGAATACACTACTAAATTTATATATATATATATATATATATATATATATATATATGAAGAGAATGATACGTATATGTGCATATATCAGAAGATAGATATATGAAGAGAATTATATATATATATATATATATATCTAGAGAGAGAGAGTCAGAGAGAGAGAGGGACAGATTGAGATAGTTATGATGTGATTAGACAGATATAGAGTCACAGAAATATACTGATAGATATCATTTAAATACATTACGATAAATAGATAGATAGATAGATAGATAGATATCATTTAAATACATTATTATAGATAGATAGTTATCATTTAAATACAGTATGATAGATAAATAGATAGATAGATAATGAACAGATTTAGATAGATAGATGCAAAATAGATAAATAGATGTGAACGTATTGATATGATCAGAAATATATAGCTAAATAGATAGATATGCACTACTAAAAAATATATATATATATATATATATATATATGGAGAGAATGATAGGTATATGTTTAATATATATATATGTGTATATATATGAAGATAGGTATATATATATATATATAGAGAGAGAGAGTCAGAGAGAGAGAGAGGGATAGAGAGTGATAGTTATGACATGATTAAAACAGATATGAAGTGACAGAAATATACTCATAGATAGATAGATAGATAGATAGATAGATAGATAGATAGATAGATAGATTAGTTTTCTGACTGTTAAACCTGGTTTCGAATTACACCATCGTCGATTTGTTAGGAATGTGATGTTGACGTTAGCAATCATCGTGCAGTACTTTTGGAAAATTCCCGAAAAGGGCAGAGCGAAATGAGGCTATCCTTGTGAGGGAAATATGGTAGAGGGTAGATGGTAGGTTTAAAAGGTTGAAAGTTTGGTGTCATCGTGATCGGTACACAAACTTCTAATCACAACAGACTATTCTACTTCTTCCATAAAATGTAAGTAATGTCTTCTCAGCTTAATTGAAGTATAAACCATAGATGAGCTCTTTTGGTGTCGAAGAAACAGAAAAATCTACCTGGACAGGTACATTTGACATGGATTGGCTGACCGTCCAAGCTGGCTGGAATGCTCGGAAAACAACAGTCGCCGGACATTATATATATATATATATATATATATATATATATGTGTGTGTGTGTGTGTGTGTGTGTGTATCAATAATTTTTGCTAGCTAATTAAGTCCCTGTTTATTCAATTCACTTCATCTCAATATATATTTATTTCTAGTTATGGATATCTATCTATCTATCTATCTATCTAACATTCTTTTATTATCTCTCTCTCTCTCTATCTATCGCAGTCATTTTATTATCTATCTATCTATCTATCTATCTATCTATCTATCTTCATTATATATCTCTTTCTATCTATCCGACTCGTTTCATTATCTATCTATCTATCTATCTATCTATCTATCGCAGTCATTTTATTATCTATCTATCTATCTATCTATCTAAAATTCTTCATTATCTATCTCTCTATGTATCTATCGCAGTCATTTTATTATCTATCTATCTATCTATCTATCTATCTATCTATCTATCTCAGTCATTTTATTATCTATCTATCTATCTATCTATCTATCTATCTATCTATCTATCTCAGTCATTTTATTATCTATCTATCTATCTGTCTGTCTATCTATCTATCTATCTATCTATCTATCTATCTATCTATCTTCATTATATATCTCTTTCTATCTATCCGACTCGTTTCATTATCTATCTATCTATCTATCTATCTATCTATCTATCTATCTATCTTCATTATATATCTCTTTCTATCTATCCGACTCGTTTCATTATCTATCTATCTATCTATCTATCTATCTATCTATCTATCTATCTATCTATCGCAGTCATTTTATTGTCTATCTATCTATCTATCTATCTATCTATCTTCATTATATATCTCTTTCTATCTATCCGACTCGTATCATTATCTATCTATCTATCTATCTATCTATCTATCTATCTATCTATATCTACGAATCTCTCTCTCTCTCTTTCACATTCTTTATTATCTATCTATCTATCTATTTTATCTCATTCTGTTCATATCTGTATCTCTGACTGTCTCTATATCATCTATCTATATCCGGTTCATCTCTGCATCGGCTTCTGTCAGTTTAACAATATCTCTGTCGGACATTCTTCCTACTTTTCCTTGAATATCGCTAATCTATTGATCAAAACAATCATCATGAAATGGCCTCATTTATAGACGACCAGCAACCGATCCCAAATAACTCCTAATGAGATTTTCATTGGCGGAATTCCGATTTTGTATTCAAATGGATCCTGACCGTTTGAGTCTGTTAATCATCGAGTCAGCCACCGTTCTCTCCTCATTCTGTAGCTCTTCCAACCCTTTTCTCTTCTAAGAAATTACAATCGCTGTAGCTGCAAATCTTAGTCTTGTGCGGCACAAGATCATGATGTTTGGAGTGGCTCATTGCAGTCACTCTTCCAGTTTATGAAGACCAAGATTAATTGATCGGCTTAGGTCTACGAAATCTAATGAGGTTTATATTGACTATCCTCTGTTTGATAGTTGCCGGTAACCTGGCTATGAGGCGGTACTGATTGTGGTACTGATTAAAGAGTAGGTTGGGAATTATCAATAAGGTCGTAGTGAGTTCGATACTCGCTGAATGTCGATACAGAATTAGAACTCGTCTCTCCGATTCCTCAATTCGAGCTGTAATAAAGGGTTAAACTGTTAGTCAGTCTAACCTAAAAGTATTTGCAATAGATTCGAATATTAAAATTATTTCCAATGCATTTTCAAGGTAAAATCATATGCAATGTATTTCCGTATTAAAAATCACTTGTAATCCCTTTTCATAATAAAATCATTTCCTATGAATTTTCATAAAATTATTTGTAATGTGTTTCCATAGTAAAATCATTTGCAATGCATTTTCATAGTAAAATCATTTGCAATGCATTTTTATAGTAAAAATCATTGGCCAATGCATTTTCATAGTAAAATCATTTGCAATCCTTTTATATAGTAAAAACATTTGTAATTCGTTTTTATAGTAAAATCATTGGCCAATGCATTTTCATAGTAAAATCATTTGCAATCCTTTTATATAGTAAAAACATTTGTAATTCGTTTTTATAGTAAAATCATTGGCCAATGCATTTTCATAGTAAAATCATTTGCAATCCTTTTATATAGTAAAAACATTTGTAATTCGTTTTTATAGTAAAATCATTGGCCAATGCATTTTCATAGTAAAATCATTTGTAATATCTTTTCACAGTAAAATCATTTGAAATGCATTTTCATAGTAAAATCATTTGTAATGCATTTTCATAGGTAATAATTTGCAATGCATTTTCATAGCAAAATCATTTGCAATGCATTGTCATAGCAAAATCATTCTTCTTCATCGTTTTTATTTTTTCTTTATTTTCTTCTTCTTCTTCTTCTTCTTCTTCATCTTCTTCATTTTCTTCATCCTTTTCATCCTCTCCTTCATCCTCTTCTTCATTTTCTTTATTTAGTTTCTGCTCTTTCTTCATTTTCAATTGTACCTAATTTTCTGGCTTTAATAAACATGCAATGAGTTGGTAAGCCGTAGAAAACAAATCAATCATTAATTCTTCTTCTTCTTCTTCTTCTTCCTTATTTAGCTTCTCTTTTTTTTTCAAAATTGTACCTAATTTTTCCCTTGTCCTCTTCATTTACCATTGTATTTTCCTTTATCTAACTTTATAGTTCGCTATTTATACAATTCTTCTTCTTCTTCTTCTTCTTCTCCTGTTGCTTTTTTTTCTCAATGCCTTTTGCATTTAAATATTTTCTGTACGATTTTAATTTGTTTATCATATTACTATAGCATTTTTTTATTTCTTGACAGCGTTTCCTTCCCGGTGTGAACTCCTTCAAAAAAGTTGCTTGGTTTTTTGCATCTTATTCTCCCAAAAACTCCTTTTTTTTATCCATGTCCCGCCCTTTATTACTTTATTCTTCGTTTTTTTTATTCTTCTTTTATTCAATCCGTCTCTTATTCTCTCTTTTCCTTCTTCCAAATTTTATCGTATTCTTTCCCCTATCTATTTTTCCCTCTCTTTTTTCCATTCTTCATTCATTCACGATTATTTCTTTCATATTTCTTTTTTTTTTCGTCCTCTCCCTGTCCCTTACCCACACATTTCTCCTCTCCTCTTTCCTTTATTTTCTTCTTCTTTTCTGTCACTTTCTTCTTCATTGTTTTCATATCATCTCGGGGAAAGACCACTCCACCGACCAACCGCATCCAATCAAACGAATTCTCCTTTTTCTTTTTTTTTCATTCCATTTTTGTCCGACAGATTGCTCCCCTTCGACCGTCAACAAGAGACAACCCCCACACACTACACATCACGCCACCGATTTCCAATCCCCTCCTCTTCCAACGCTAACTGCTTTTTCGTCTGACAGAATGATTCCGCCGCTTTCACATCATGAAGAACTTTTTGATGATTGAATATTTTCCCCCCGCAACCACAGCTATTCGGCCATCTTGGCCTTGCAAATGCTCTTTTCGTAATTGACCTTCTCTACAGCACACTTTCAGCAAATATCGGCTAAACGATATCTTCGTCTATTGCTTTCTGCACACACCCACACTCACACCCCACTGCTAAGTCTCGCTGTCGGTTGAGTTCCTTTAGCAAAAATAATTCCGTCCTTTTCTTCATGCGGGCGTACTAAACGGTAGATAAGAAGAGCCACCCTAATTGTCTACTAACATACCTGAATACATTTTCGTTCGAACTCACTCCCTTTTACAATAACATTCTTCTTCTTCTTCCTTCTCCTCTTCATCTTCTTTTTCTTCTTGTATCCGTCGGATTTATCTGGTACTCTTATGCATATTTCTTCTTAGTCTACTTCTTTTTCGTCTTTAGGTGGTACTCCCCTTTATCCATATTTCTCCTTCTTTTTGTATAGCTACTCATTCTTCTACTCCATCATTGTTTTCATCCTTTCTTCTTTTTCTTCTTCTTCTTCTTCTTCTTCTTCTTCTTCTTTCGTCTCTACTGTAAGTCTGCTTGACCTGTACTCCCCTTTATCCATTCTTGTCGTCGTCGTTGTTGTTGTTGTTGTTCTTTTTCTTCTTCATTTGCTTGTTCTCCTTCCTCATGTCAGCTTTACCTCATACTCCCCTTTATCCATATTTCTATTTCTTCGTCTTCTTCTCCTCATTCTCTTCTTCTTCATTTGCTTATTCTTCTTCCTCAAGTCGGATTTACCTCGTACTCCCCTTTATCCATATTTCTTCTTCTTCTTCTTCTTCTTCTTCTTCTTCTTCTTCTTCTTCTTCTTCTTTATACTTGCTTTGCATGGTACTCCTCTTTATCGATATTTCCTCTTCTTCTGTAAGCATGCTTTGCATAGTACTCCCCCTTTATCCATATTCGTCATCTTCTTCTTCGTCTTTATACATACTTTGCTAGGTACTCCCCTTTATCAATATTTCTTCTTCTTCTTCTTCTTCTTCTTCTTCTTCTTCATTTGCTTATTCTTCTTCCTCAAGTCGGCTTTACCTCGTAGTCCCCTTTATCCATATTTCTTCTTCTTCTTCTTCTTCTTCTTCTTCTTCTTCTTCTTCTTCTTCTTCTTTTTCTTCTTCTTCTTTCGTCTCTTCTGTAAGACTGCTTGACCTGTACTCCCCTTTATCCATTCTTGTCGTCGTTGTTGTTGTTGTTGTTGTTCTTCTTCTTCTTCTTCTTCTTCTTATTTATGAATTTATTCCCATTTATACCGTTTAAATTCCATTGTTCTTCAGTTTGTTCCGTTTTCATTTGGTGGTAATTTAGTTATTTTTCTTCTTTTCTCCCTTTTCTTCTACTCATCCTGTTCACTTGCTTTTCTTCCTTTTCTTCCTCCTCCTCCTCCTTCTTCTTCTTCTTCTTCTTCTTCTCCTACTTCTTCTTCTTCTTCAACTTCGAACATTGTTTTTTTGTCATTTTTCTTGTATTTCTTCTTCTTTTTGTATGGCTACTCATTCTTCTACTCCATCATTGTTTTCTTCTTCTTTTTCTTCTTCTTCTTCTTCTTAGCCTCATTCATCATTATTATAATCATCATCATCATCTGCTACCAGACTTGAGAAACCTGTTTTCGTGAAAAAAAAACCCGTTTCAAAAGAACTGTTTTATAAATTTCAACCGAAAATTGTAATGTCTATTCACGCAATGAATACCAAATATTTCCTTGTAGGGAAACGGCTAAAACCTTCCTTTTCCCCCGTTTTTCCTTTTACTTCTCCTTAACTAAACGCTTTTTAAGTGCATATTCTTTTATCTCTTTACACGGCTCAAGAATAAATTCTCTTCCATCTTTCGCTCTTCCTAACTTTAACTTGACTCACCCTAAATACAAAGAAATGTCATCAAGACAATTCTAATTGATGCAACCTTTGTTCTTTATGCGCTGGTGATTTAAAAGAAACGCCGATATCAACAGCTACCTGCGTACGTTTAATAGTCGGCAATATTAACAAAAGATATAAATGTTGTCACCAGGGTTGATGAAGCCATTTCATTGAGATCAAAGATTCGTCCATGTTTTGTTTAATTTTTTCCAAGAGCTATTTTTGTAACTTAAAGAAGAAGAAGAAGAAGAAGAAAAAGAAGAAGAAGAAGAAGAAGAGATAGAATAAGGATAATGTTACGTATCAGCAGATTTATTGAAGAAGAAGAAAAATAAGAAGAAGAAGAAGGAGGAGGATAATTTTGGTATCGACTGATTTATTGAAGAAGAAGAAGAAGACGAAGAAGAAGAAGAAGAAGAAGAAGAAAAAGAAGAAGAGATAGAATAAGGATAATGTTGCGTATCAGCAGATTTATTGAAGAAAAAGAAAAAGAAGGAGAAAAAAACGAAAAAGAAGAAGAAAAGATAGAATAAGGATAATGTTGCGTATCAGCAGATTTATTGAAGAAGAAGAAGAAGAAGAAGAAGAAGAAGAAGAAGAAGAAGAAGAAGAAGAAGAAGGATAATGTTGGGTATCAGCTGATTTATTGAAGAAGAAGAAGAAGAAGAAGAAGAAGAAGAAGAAGAAGAAGAAGAAGGATAATGTTGGGTATCAGCTGATTTATTGAAGAAGAAGAAGAAGAAGAAGAAGAAGAAGAAGAAGAAGAAGAAGAAGGATAATGTTGGGTATCAGCTGATTTATTGAAGAAGAAGAAGAAGAAGAAGAAGAAGAAGAAGAAGAAGAAGAAGGATAATGTTGGGTATCAGTTGATTTATTGAAGAAGAAGAAGAAGAAGAAGAAGAAGAAGAAGAAGAAGAAGAAGAAGAAGAAGAAGCAATATGGAAAAAATAATAAAGATAAAGGTTCAAAGCGTTTTTGGAATGAATAAATAGATTTTATTCATACAATTATGCTTATCTTGTTATACTGAAAACGTTTCGATTTTCGATCATTCATCTATATAACGTGTCGCTTGAGGACGTAGACGATCATGGTTCTCCCCAGATTCCTGACCTTTTTTATTCTTAGTAATGGTTATTTCTTTACAATTCCTTTCACCCCCTTTCTACCATAACATTCCCATAAACGAGTCTCATTTTCTGTGACTTTTGCCTTCGATTTTACCTTTTGAATGTCAAATATTTCATACCCTCGTTATAAGCTCCAAATGATTTCTGCGGCCCCTTTCCGATTCTAAGATAAAATGTCAGTTTTTGCGTCAATTTTCTTTTCCTACCTCTTTTTGGCTAAGTACTAGAGGCCATATCTTAACTGGTCAATCATCTCACGTCGAAGAGTATTATTTCTGAAAAGCAATATGCCTTTCCTTACTCTATAAGGAATTCATGGAAGGATCTAGCAAGAATGGTGAAGCTCAAGCATTGGACATCTCGAAGGCATTTGACAGAAATTCTTCTTCTGCTTTACCAGGTACCTAAAATTGTCCTTATTCTTTCTATATTTCTTCTTCGTCTTCTGCTTCTTGGAAATATGGTGGAACGGAAGTGTAAGGAATGGTAAAAAAAATAAAAAAAGCATTAATTGGAAGAACAAAGAACAGGAATCTGGGGAGAACTATGATGGCTTTCCTTACTCTAAGAGGAATTGATGGAAGAATCTAGCAAGAATGGTGAAGCTCAAGTATTGAACATCTTGAAGGTATTTGACAGGAATTCTTCTAGAATAAAAAAAAACATCTGCTCCCTTTTTGGCAAGCCTTCACAGCTCCGTTCCACCTTCCATTCTCATAAGCTCGCTGCCATCCCTTGTCTCACTTGCCTTCGATATGCCCTCTATGTGGGAAATTATAGAGTAACCCACAGAGGATGGAACTCATTACTCATTTGTAATTGCTTAAATCTAGCAGGAAAAAGCTTGCTAAGCATTACACCATGTACAAGTTCTGAAAAGCTTAGATGCGGCACAAGGCCGAATGTGTGAGGCAAACCAGTAAGAATCGAACTCAGTACTAAATTGCAATTGATCTAGTGAGATTGTTAACCATTACACCACCTTCAAGTGCTCGAGATTGATTTACTAAGAGTGGCTTAGATGTGGCACAAGGCCGAAAGTATAGAGCACCCAGTGAGGCTCGAACTCAGTACTCAGTCGTAATTGATCTAGCGAGATAAGATTGCTAACCATTACGCCATGTCGAGGTGGCCAAATGAATTTCTAAGCGTAACTTCGATGTGACACAAGTGAGGATGGAAACTTACTATTCAGCATTTTTACTATCGAGACAAGCTTGTTAACCATTACACCATCTCGAGATTCCCAGATTATTTTCTAAGCGAAGCTTATATGTGGCACAAGGCCGCAAGTGCGTGCGCACCCAGTGAGGATCGAACTCACTACTCTGTAGCAATTGATCTCGCGAGACAGGCTTGCTAACCGTTACACGACATCGTAGTACCGCCATCTTAGTTGATATGGGTGTTATTATAGATAATATATATCCCATATCAGCCAATCAATGGACATCTGATGATGACCCGAAGGTACATCGTCGAAACTTTGTGTATATCATAACATCTGTATTTAGCTTTAAGCTTTATTTGAAATAATGCAATTTCATTGACAATTACGCATCTCATAAATAAAATACAAAATTATGAAAAGTGCAACGAAGCCGCCTTCATGCTCAAAGGTCATAAACTATCTGGCACTGAGTAAAAATAATTTCCAAGATACACACCACTAATGTCCTTCGGGACGGTAGGATATAAGAGTTTGTTATGCATATGTTAGTGCCGTTTAGTGGTCTTGAGTTCAATCCTTGGAGCTGGTAGTTAAGCACTAATTCAGCAGGAACGAACAATAAGTGATATTTAAAGGGACAAAATAACACAATGATCAAATTATCCGATATCAGTCAGTCAATGGATACCTGATGATGACCAGAGGGTAATTGGTCGAAACGTTGTGTCTATAATAACATCTGCATCAACCAAAATGAGAACGACAGTTCAAAATCATAAAATAATATGGACAATTGGTCATCTTAGAATTTAAATACAAAATTACGGTAGCATATACGAGTTGGTGTTGATTATATTCCTATCATGGGTTCAATCCTTGGATCTGGTAGAGTTTATTCAGGAACGAACAACAACTTATATAAAAGAAAAAATCGACAGATATCCCATATCAGCCGATCAATCGACAGCTGATGATGACCAGAGAGTAATCGGTCGAAAGTTTGTAGAGCCGAGTCTCTATAATAACATCTATATCAAACGAAACTAGAATAACAAAAATGACTTTCTTAAAAGAATCTGCTTCTTGCTGTGGACACCTCGAATCTCTTCTTCATCTGTGAAGAATTTGTTCAACATTCACTGCCATAAAATTTAACTGATATTACATAACAGTTTAGTGCCCTTTACTTTGTTTTTAACAATTTTTTTCAGTTTCTTAATACTTTGCTTTGCACCATCAAAAATCTGCCTCCTTTTTCTCAAAACAAGTATTTTTGTGCATTTTTATACTTCTATCTAATTTTTCACCTAATACAGTGAAAAAACTGATAGACATTGTTAAACACTATGATTTTTTTCTTTTCTTGATTCCCGCTCTTCTCTAAGATTATTATTATTGTTTTTATTCCTTTGATTTCTGGCGTTTACACATTTCTTTCCGGGTCCCGCCCAGCGACCTAAAAGGACATCATGACACTTTCCACTGACGACAACAAAAAATAAAATAAAATAAAAATGAAAAAAAAAACACACATACTTTACTTAGATAAAGCCCTTCGTAAAATGTGGGCTGTACTTGTGTGAACATTTTTTGTATTTTTTTGAGGCATGGGATTCCAGGAATCCATTCAACTAGACTTCTAGAATCTTTTCCAACCAATCCTAATGCTTCAATTACAACAGAGATTATTGATGTTCCCATCTGCCATATTTTTGACAGCTTTTTGAATATCTTCAAGGATACATTGCAGTCAGCAGGGACTGCCATATCATTTTGTTTGTGGTCTTTAATAACAATATTTGGGCGGTTGGCTTTGATTGTTCTGTCAGTGTGTATTGTGTAGTCCCATAGAATTGTAACAGGTCCTATCTCCGTATTATTATTATTATTATTATTATTATTATTATTATTATTATTATTATTATATTTCAATTTCTGCTGTGGTCACATGACCTACCAAGTCCGTGGGAAGACCTAAAACAGGTAGTGGTGTGTCGATATGGCTACATTTCATGACTTTCTTCTTAGTGTGTGGGCTGTACTTATGAAGAATTTTTTTCTCTCTTAAATTGGTATTTCTAGGGATTTTTTTTCAATGTGTTGATGTGTTTCTTTTTTATCATTCCAAGCGCACCTACTATGACAGGTATTATTCTTGTTTTTCAATATCCACGTTTCGATAGTTTTTCAAATTCCTTGGTTGCTATGTTACAGCCTACTGGGCAAACTATATCAATTAGTAGGCAAGATTATTCTTTTCGTTGCTTGACAGTTATGTCCGGCCTATTTGCTTCAATCTTCCTGTTTGTAAAGGTAGTGTAATCCTATAGAATTGTGATGTCTTCTATTACTGTAACCGTTGCTGGGTGAATTTCATACCAGTGTTTGTTAACATTATTATGCAAATATTGATTTTTATATTAATTTGGCGCTAG